CCGCCCCTTTTTTTCATTTCTTTCTCCCCATCTCTCTAAAAAGGGGAAGATATCTGTTTCATTTTCATCTCTCTTAGAGGGGGCAGAAATCTCCCGCTTTTTCATCTCTCCCACTAAAAGGGGGTAGATCCACCCATGTTTCCATCTCTCTCTCCTCTAGGAGAGAGCGGTGCCTGAATATGAAGAGAGAGAGCAACATGGCCAAGGAGAGAGAGAAGTGCCTGAGAGAGAGAGAGAGAGAGAGAGAGAGAGAGAAATGCCTGAGAGAGATAAGAGAGACTAGCAAAGGGAGAGAGAAAGAGAGACGTGGCCAAATCCCTCTTTGTCCCTTCAGCCACATGTCCAAAGCCCCCCCCTCCCTCCCCTTTCTTTTATTATTGTTATTATTATTATTATTATTATTTTGCTTTTCCATAAGGGACACCACTCGGCCGAGTGCACTTGACTCGGCCAACTAACTCAGCTCGGGCAAGGGCTGAGCTCGATGTCCGAGTTGAGTCCCTGAATGTTGATCGGAATTTTATCGAGAGATATTTTGTTTCTTGCATGTAAAAAGGTTCTTTTCTATTATTTTCCAGAACTCTAAAAGGAAATCTTCTTGCAAGTGGGTACTCAATAGATAAACTTGACTACATATTGAGTCTAGAGTATTTTCTTCATATAGACATAAATTGAAAGAAAACATTTTGTGTTTGGTCATTCTCTTCTTGAAGAAGCCACATCGTCAATTTTCTAATGTCATAGATATTAAAAGCTATTGAAAATTCAAATTTGCTCAACCTTTTGTCATTTTCTTTTTGTGCCATTTTCAGGCATGGCTGCTGCACGGGATCTCAAAGGAAAGAAAGATCGTATCGTAACAGTTATAAGCAATTGGACAACCATGGCTGGTCAGATTTACGAGGCTATGAGTAATGCTGGATATCTGGATCCAAACATGGTAGTTATTTTGAATGATAGCAGGCATTCACTACAAATGAAGCCAGAGGAAGGATCTAAAATGGCCATCAATGCTCTGTCTAGCACATTAAGCAAGATCCAGTCCAGCAGATCCTTCCGGAAATTTAGAGAAGCTGCAAAGGTATGGAACTGAAAATATTTTCCTTTTTGCATATATATATATATGTATATCTATTAGAGTACGTATATGAGTATGTATATGTATGTATGTACACACACATATGCACACGCACAACACACACACACACACACACACACACAAGACACATATATCACACACACCACAAACACACAGGCACCGACACACACACAGTCGGTATCTGTGTGTTTGTGGTGTGTGTTATATATGTGTCTGTTTCTAATTTATGGCTTTGCTTTCTACTTGGGAGGTTTACATAGCATGTCAAATTATCCAAAGCAAGGATCTGATGTCTGTCTGAGAAGACTTATTGAAAAGTTGGGGTAAGGACTCTGCTGGAGTTATTCTTCTTTTTTCTGGATAATTTACATAAAAGTCCTTTGTTTTTTTTGAATTAAAAAATAATCTTCATTGTCTCATATTTTATGCCAGGATCCCTTTTTGTCAGATTTTTATTTTTCCCCAAATTACCACCTGCCCGGTACTTGATGTATCGGATTGCAACCACTGGTGGAAAAACCGGGCGATCTAACACGTAACCGCCCGGTTAGATCGGAATCGGCCAGTGGCCAGTTCCAGTTTTGGGCGGTTTTGGTGATCGGCCGGTATTAAAAAGAACAAAATTTCAAAAGAATGTACATAAATTCCCAAAAATAATGAATTTGGTTTGAAATACATTTTTTAATATTCTTTACATTATGGTAAAGATTAAAAATTGTTTTGGTCGTTAATACTCACTTTTATATTTTACCATATTTTTCAAAAATATTTAACAATACCCCTAGGCACAGATCGATTATTTAAAACCCATTTTTTTCATTAATTTTCAACTTCATTTGAATGTGTTTTGTTTTAATCGTTCTTTATAGGAAAAATTATATAGAGTCGAGGCCCTAAACAATCAAATTAGAGCCCACCTCAAAAATTTTACTAGAAAGAGGTTGTTTTCATACCCAAATATCCTCAAATTGATCATCTCGACATCAAGATGCATGGACATGAAAAAAAAATGGATTTCAAGTTTTGGAAATAGTGCATCTTGTAACGCATTTTTGAACCGTCAATTTTCAAGATTTTCAAGTTTTCATAGATCTACTCGGTCTACATTATTTCTAAAGGTTTATATTTTATAATTAAATATGAAAATATATTGTAAGGCTATCACAAAGATTTTCAGTATTGAAACTACATTTCTCAACACTATTTGAAGGTGCGTTTTATTTTGATTGTTTAGAGCCTTCGGCTCTATACAAACCGCATCCTTCTTTATATGCTTTCCATATTTTAGTAGATTTTTTTTGTATATTTTTTATTTTTTTCAACACTTTTTTCACCACCCGGGACTTCCCCGGTTAGAATAGTTTAATCGGCCAGTTTACCGGTTAGGCTGGTTAAACCGCTTTCGGGCTCATGTCCGGTTAACCGTTCCGGTTTGATTTTGCAAACACTGACTGCATCTACATCTTTCTCGTTTGAGAAGTTGGCCCAATATTTGAAGTACTAAATTGACTTCTCTATAATGAGGAAGCCTGTTAGGTACTTCAAGTGCCTGATCAGGCTCTTGCAAGTTTTTCACCAAGAGTCGGTCTTGCACTATTTGATACTCTTGTTTGTTGCACTTCAAGTGCCGGACCGAACAAACAAAAACAAAAAAAAGAAAAAGAAAAAGAAAAGAAAGAAGAAAAAGGAAAAAGGAAAAAGGAAAAAGGAAAAAGAAAAAAGAAAAAAGAAAAAAGAGATCAAGAGAGAGAAAGGTGAAGGGTGGGGGTTGGGGTTGGGGCATATAAACATATCTTTTTCTTTTGATTTCTCCCCTCCCCCCCCCGTTTCCCCCTTTCTGTTTGGAGTTGGTGTGACACTTGAAGTGTCTAACCAACAAGGCGGTCTAGCACTCCAAGTGCCAAAGGTTGATCTGACACTTGAAGTACCATACTAGTTTCACCATTATAAAGAAGTTGGTCTAGTACTTCAAGTGCCAGACTGAACTTCTCAAGAAAATTTCGTATGCGGTCTAGTATTTGCGTTCCGATACTTCAGGTACCGGATGAGGGGTAGTTGGGGCAAAAATAAAAGAATTGACAAAAAAAGGGACCCTGGTTGAAAATATGATGAGATACAGATATTTTTGTTAAAAAAAAGAGATTTTTTATTGTAATTACCTTTTCTCCCTACATTTACAAATGCATGGGGTTAATCTCAGTTGACATCTCTATCTTCACAGGCAGTGTCACCTCAGATTTTGTATTTTTATAAAGGTTTCTAGTTAGGGTAGAATTGGATAATACAAAGTCTAATTGATGTGAAACTAGTGTTGGGGTTATGGGGTAGGGTTTGACTGGGTTAAAGGAAGGTTTATGATAGGTTTTTGGGTTTCTGAAGGGGGTTAAGATCCCCGAGCTTGGCAGGTCCAGCAGGAATTTCAAGAATGAGTTTGAAGGCTATAATGTGTGTGTGTGTGTGTGGGGTATTGATCTATCTCTTTCTACTTTATGGATGTTATCCTTGTCTCTGTATAAATTAGGCAGCATTCCTTTCTACTTAGGAGCCTTAAATGGCATATCAAAGTTTCCAAGGCAAGGTTTGAATGTAAGTCTTAGAGGACTTATTGAAAAGCTTTGGGTAAGACTTTGTTGGAGTTATTCCTCTTCTTTTTTTGGGGTAATTTATATTAAAGTTCTTTTTTTTTTGAATGTATGAAAATAATTATCATTTCTTCATATTTTAGGCTGGAATCCCTTTTTTGTCAGCTTTTTTCCCCCCAAAATGCCCCTAGTCCGGCACTTAAGTCTTTCTTTTTTGAGAAGTCGGTCTGACGCTTGCTTGAAATACCCGACCAACTTCTCTATAATAATGAAGCTGGTCAGGTGCTTCGAGTGTTGGACCGACTCTGGCAATTTTTCTCCTAAAGTTGGTCTGATGTTGTTTGGAACCCTTGTTGGTTGCACCCCAAGTGCTGGACAAACTCCAAAGCCTTTTTTTTGTTTTTGGTTTTTTCTTTAAAAAAAAAAAAATGAAATTCATGAGAGAGTGAGGTGAAGGGTGAGTGGGGATATAAACCCTCTCTTTTGTTTTAATTGTTTTGATTTCTTTTTTTCTTATTTGTTTGGAGTTGGTCTGATACTTGAAGTGCTTGACGGACTCGGTCATCTAGCACTCCAATTGCTAGGCCAACTTCTAGCAAAAACTTGCCAGAGGTCGGTCTAATACTTGAAGTACCAGACTGGTTTCACCATTATACAGCAGTTGGTATGGTCTTTCAAGTGCCGGACTAACTACTATTGGATCAACTTCTTAAGAGAATTTCAGATGTGGTTCGGTACTTCCAAGTACTAGACCAGGGGTAGTTGGGGCAAATTAAAAGAATTGACAAAAAAAGGGATCTTGGTGTGAAGTATGATAAAATAGGGATTATTTATTTTTTGTTCTATAATTTTTTTGTCCCAAAAATGAGGACTTTTATGTTAGTTACCCTTTATTAACCACATTTTGCACACACTAGGGGTTAATTTTGTTGACATCTCTATCATCACAGGCAGCATCACCTTGAATTCTTTTTTTGTGAAGGTTCCTAATTTGGGTTGAATTGGATAATACATAGTCTAATCAAAGTAAAACTAGTGTTAGGGTTATGGGGGAAGGGTTTGGTTGGGTAAAGAGAAGGTTTACGATAGGTTTCTGGGTTTACTAAGGGTTAAAGATCAGTGGAACTTCACAGATCCAGCAGGAAAAACTAGGGTTTAAGCATAACTTTGAAGGCTATTTTGGGGTAGGTATGTTTTCAGCGTAGACATGGAGCTAGTTTCCCTAAGTTTGGAGAGGTTTGGCTTGGGTTTATGGAATGAATGTGTGACGAATTTGGTTGTGTGGAAATTTGGATGAGGATTAGTCACAGAAGAGGTGAAAGAAAAGGGGCCTGGGATTCTTTGGAATATCTCCACCGAAAGAAGAGATGGGCTTTAATCTTTGGGGAACTTTCCCAAACCTAGGCTAGAGTTGTACAGTCACTCTTTCTTCAAAAAATTGAGGAATCTTCCCTTTAAAGGCGGCCTTCCATCACATTTGGAATGTCAAATTTTATTACTGAACTTGAATGTATTGGGTCACACAGGCCTATATTGGTATTTATATAGAATTTCAAGTTCATTTGCCTTTTACTTGGATGGAAAACTCCTTTTTTTTAAAAGGAAAAACTCAACTTGATTATTAATTGGCTATGGCCCTACATGGGTATTTATTGAGAGTTCTAGTTCTTTTTGCTCCATACTTGGAATCCTGAAAGCACACAAAACAAATTCTTAGACAATCTAGGAAACTTTCCAACTCAATGGTTTCTAATCCTTCTAGGATTGAAACCCCACCTTGATTAGAAACCCCACCTTTTATAAATGTAATAATTTATGGAAACTAATCCCCATTACAATAAAGACTCAATAATGGAAAAAAGAAACCTAGCCCGAAGGAATTCATCACTGATTTTGTTGGCAGGCTTTCTACCATGACTTGGAGCTCAATTCGACTGAATTATGAAAAACTCAAAAGAAATATGGCTACTAGATGATGAAGAGATCTTGGATTTAAGCTTTGAAGAGAATCTTAAGTGTTGGCTAAAAATTATTCTTTTGTTAATGACCTGTACATCTATTATAGCGCCTCCCAAATCCTAGTCTACCCATACTTGAACTCTAAAACAATCAATAACGCTTCCTAATCAAATTAGAAGATAAATTCCATGGTTCTAATTGATATAGGAAAGAATTTTTAGTTCCTAGAGACTAATAATTCTAAACCCATTACAACTAAGAAATAGTTAGAGACTGGAAATTCTTAAATTTTGATGCAGGACCAATGGAGTCCGGCTCCTACACAAATGTGACATCATCATCATCATCATCATCATTTTAGCCTTTTCCCAGTTAATTGGGGTTGGCTACATGAATCCTAGCTCTCCATTCTACTCTACTAAAGGCCATATCCTCATTGAG